AAAAGATATATCATTGTCGCCATCGATCAACCGCACACTTGAGCTAGTTCATCGAGATGTAACTTCTTCATTTCAGTGACGTTAATACGTACTGTGCTCTTTGGACAAAGCTCGTGTTCGCTTGTAGCCTGTCTTCTTTGAACTGAACTAAATACTTGTTAATGTGAAGAAAAACCAATGAGGAATAAATTCAATAATAACAACGATGTAGCATGAAGTAGTTAGAAACGAATGCTTTTCGCTTAGACCTATTGCAGCTTTTGTTACCATCAAGGAAATGTTGACATAAGAGTACTAAACCTTAACCTTACATCTTTCTCATGCAATTCCAGTACGACCTAAACTCTATTACATTATTGTTATGTGTGAAATAAATCCGGCAATTTTCCATTTCCAGACGTACGATTGAGATATTGTTCTTGTTTAGGTTCATTGGTTAGGTTCATTTGGCACATCACGATTACACCAAAGACCAAACTATTAGGCAATCCATTCTGGGTAGGAAGCAAATATTTATATAACTTGTTACCAATAAAGAAAGAAAGAAAAGGAAGTATATGCACACTACAACTAGAGAGGGAAAAAAGGAGGAAGTGCTTCTAATCATTTTCATTTTCCTTAGTTCATCGTTATATATAGTTTTTTTATACGGGCGATTAATGCTACGTACTCAAATATTATATGCATCAATTGATTGATGGCGTGGATCGAAGTTTTGAACACACGAACATGTGTGTGCCAAACTAATGAGCTCAAATGCACTTTTAATGATTTTGGATTAGTGTTGGGTTTTAATTGGATCCAATGTTGACTACACTCAAAATGATAATATCGACCATCTTATTTACTTTTTTCAACACAATCACACACATTTAATGTTAATGTTTCCACATTTTTTGTTGTATAATAAATTCAGAGATCACCAAATATTGAGTGTTTTTGGCCATCACTATTCACCATCACCATCCCCACGAAGATTCCTTTCCCTCTGCGACTACCTTTCGGTTTTCTATATGTAATTTCCATGGCCGTTTGCGCTTGCCGCTGTCAGTTTGTGCAATTCTTTTTGGAGCCTTATTATAATTTGCCACGACTCTTACACATGGTCGTCACCTTTCAGTCCAATCATTATATCATCGTCTTTCTACAATTCAAAGGAAAACAATGTCGTGAATTCTAGATGGGTCGAAAATCAGAGTTGCTCGCTCCACAAGATCCTCACTCTTTGTGGTCGACATATGTCAGATGGTCATCATTGTGTTGTGTGTGTGCGGGCCAATTGAAGCCAATTTTACGTTTGGTTTACATGTAATTCAATATATGCTTCGGCGATTCAGAATCTATCATTTTTGTTTTCAAGTTACCTGTACAGCAAAACTCTCAGTCAAACGATATTTCCAAGATTTTAAATCAACACTACTGCAGCCACCCACCATATTAAATAAGATTTTAAAACTCTCAGTCTACGGGATTTTTCCAAGATATTAAATAAGAATTAAAAAAAGAATGCAGCTTTGAATTAATTCTTGGACGGACAGACGGACGAACTTGATGTCGCTTACCTTCTTTGAAGTGGACCAATTGTTAAAGTGACAGAAGCCATATTGGTAGCAAGTTAATGCTCTTTACATAACGTTCGTCTCTTTCTATATATACACCACTCACTGCTCTAATAAATTTCAGTCGATACAGCAAATTAAGACCAAACCGCTCTCCCTTCATATCCTCCACATACTAGAATCATGGGTACGGAGGTAGTTGCAGCGGCGGCCGCCGGTAATCCTCCCGACCTCATTCCAGCCGGCGGCAACGTTTGTCACGCCGTGCTTTTCCCCTTCATGTCAAAAGGCCACACAATCCCCATCCTCCACCTCGCCCGCCTCCTCCTCCGCCGACAAATCTCCCTCACCGTCTTCACCACCCCCGCCAACCGCCCCTTCATCGCCACTTCACTCCCCGCCGGCGCCGCCGCTTCCATCATCGAGCTCCCCTTCCCACACGACATCCCGGAAATCTCCGCCGGCGTCGAGAGCACCGACAAGCTCCCTTCCGTCGACTCCCTCTTCCCTCACTTCGCCCTCGCCACGGAGCGCATCCGGCCCGACTTCGAATCCGCGCTCGAAAATCTCCGGCCGCGGCCGAGCTTCATGGTCTCCGACGGCTTCCTCTGGTGGACCCAGGACTCCTCCGCAAAATTCGGGATCCCGCGGCTGGTCTTCTACGGGATGTCGAATCACGCCGGCAGCGTGTCGAGAGCCGCCGCCGTCGACCGTCTCCTTTTGGGCTCCGAGTCCGACGACGAGTTGATCTCCGTGACTCAGTTCCCGGGGGTCAAAGTTTGCAAGAGCGACTTCGAGGAGTGGGCTCGAAAGCCCAACCCGGAAGGGCCCCACTTCGATTTCGTTTTGAAATCGGTGGCCGCTTCCTCACGAAGTTACGGTTACATGATGAATAGCTTTTACGAGTTAGAATCGGTTTTCTCCGACCATCTTAACGGGCTCGGTAAACAAAGGTATTACTCTGTGGGCCCCCTTTGCCTGGCTGACGTGGACGAAATCAACGGCGGGAAAGAAGCCGTATTAGCCGCCAAGTTGAAGCCGGCTTGGATTCAGTGGTTGGATGAGAAGCTGGCTGAAGGGAAGTCGGTGTTGTACGTGGCGTTTGGGTCCCAGGCGGAGATATCGGAGGAACAATTGGAGGAGATAGCGCGTGGATTGGAAGATTCGGAGGTGGAATTCTTGTGGGTGAAAAGAAAGGGAGGTGGCGGGTTGGAGGAGCGCGTGAAGGGGAGAGGGATGATTGTCGGAGAATGGGTGGATCAGAGGGAGATACTGGGCCATGCCAGCGTGGGAGGGTTTTTGAGTCATTGTGGTTGGAACTCGGTGATGGAGAGCGTTTGTGCTGGAGTGGCGATGTTGGCGTGGCCGATGATGGCGGAGCAGCCATTGAATGCGAGGATGGTGGCGGAGGAGGTGAAGGTGGGGATCAGGGTGGAAGGTTCGGGGAGAACGGGGTTCGTACGGCGGGGAGCGTTGGAGAAGGCGGTCAGGGAGTTGATGGCAGGTGAAAAGGGGAAGGAAGTGAGAAGGAACGCAAAGGAGTATGCAGAGAAGGCTATGCAAGCCATGGAAGAAGGGAGCGGCTCGTCGTGGAAAACTTTGAACTTATTAATTGACGAATTGTGTAACAAGGCAACAACAGAAAACTAGAAGGAAGACGCACAGTAATACTTTGATAAACCATAGGCTACTTAGGATCCAAAATGAACGGGTTTTTATGACCCTCCATTGTATTGGTCCAACACCACTCAGTATCCAATTGTAATCGCATCTCTTAGCGATTTGTTTTTTTAATAATATCAAGAATGTTAATTCACACTATAATTATCAAGAATCGTAATTACCTCCGCATCAGTACTATAACCAAAATGAATAAATGACCTTCCTTGTGGCAGTCCACATCATAGCTACACGAGGTTCCATTACTTTCTATTGCGAGACTTATTCGTTAGTGGCAGTGGGTTAACTATACGAATTAAGCTACTACTACTGTTGTCTTATTTTACATTCTTCGTCGCGTTAAGCTAATCATTTATTTTTGTATACTACTAAATGCGCACACCATCCAAACTAATTTCTCCTGAATACAATTTTGCAGACTCAATTGGTCTTCGTAGTGGGTGTAGACCAGCCCAATGCATGGATCATATTGAAGCCGAAATGAAATACACATCTAGTCTTGGAAGGTTTGGTCTGGTAATATTATTATTAGTTTTGAATATGAAGGTTTTATGTTCGAATCTCTTAATTGCACATATAATTATTTGGTTTGATGTTAGTCAACGTTAATTTTGACCGTTAATACTTAACCGTCATCAAAATTGGTATTAGACTTCTTATCACTTGTCCTATATTTGTCATGCGTCATTTATAGTCCTCCCAATTAACTTTGATGGTTAATAGTCAAAAGTCAAAATTTTGACCAATGATGTGGATTTTTTTGCCACATACTTAATATAAAATAATTAATTAATTAATACTCAATTTTTTTTGCATATTTTTAACAAATATTTAACAAAATAAAGATCACTATCTTCTCACGATCCTTTCTTCCCCTTTCACTAACAAACAAATCCCTAATTGGTCTTTCTATTAGGGGCGGGCATTATGTTGGTTCGGCTGAAATCGAACCATAACGATGCGTATTTGGTCCCCGAAATTCGCCAAATCTCAATGATAAAATCAAACATTTCAACACATAAGTCATAAAACACTAACATGATTCAAAAATTTATATAAGTATCAAAACAAGTATAAACATAAACCATTTGGAGATTGTAATTATAGTACTTCGGTTATTTGGTTCTGTCAAAAGGACCCTGATTTTCGAAATATGCATTTTTCCCTTCTGATTCTCGAACCAAATAATATTAATTCGGTTTCGGTTTGGTTTATATTCTATTTATCCGGTTCGGTTTTACCGAACCGTATGCCCACCCTAGCTAGTTTCTGTTATTGATGGTTACACGTACACTGTTGACTGAGGTTACTCAACAATCAGCATGCATGATGGATTGGTTGGTGATCGATTGCCATCTGGTTTGAAGCATTAGCAAGAGTTGGTGATAATGCATGCGTTGAAATCGTCAACAAGATTAGGTAAAATTATATTGGAGCAACCATACCACGTCCACGCGGAGGTTAATATATAATCCATTCTTGGTTGTTTGTATTTATATTCTTGACTTGCTTGTTTTCTTCCACCGGTCAAGTTTGCATTACCTTTGATATTTCATTCTTGACTTAATTTTATTATTATTTCAGTGGTCTTTGTTTACATTTTCTTTGATGGTCATGGTTTACTTTTAATTAATTAGTCATTCGTAGTTGCTTAGCTATTTACATAACGCTTGTCTCTCTCTATATACACACCAGACACCACTCACTTCCCTAACCAAAACGCTCTCCTTCTCCTTTCACATCCTCCACAGACTTAGAATTATGGGTACGGAGGTTGTTGCAGCCGTCACCGAAGTAATTCCAGCCGGCGGCTCCGTTTGTCACGCCGTGCTTTTTCCCTTCATGTCAAAAGGCCACACAATCCCCATGCTCCACCTCGCCCGCCTCCTCCTCCGCCGTCAAATCTCCCTCACCATCTTCACCACCCCCGCCAACCGCCCCTTCATCGCCGCTTCACTCCCCGCCGGCGCAGCCGCTTCCATCGTCGAGCTCCCCTTCCCACACGACATCCCGGAAATCCCCGCCGGCGTCGAAAGCACCGACAAGCTCCCTTCCGTCGACTCCCTCTTCCCCCACTTCGCCCTCGCCACGGAGCGCCTCCGTCCCGACTTCGAATCCGCCCTCGAAAATCTCCGGCCGTGGCCGAGCTTTATGGTCTCAGACGGCTTCCTCTGGTGGACCGAGGACTCCGCGGAAAAATTCGGGATCCCTCGGCTGGTCTTCCACGGGATGTCCAATCACGCCGCCAGCGTGTCCAGAGCTGTTGCCGGCGACCGACTCCTGTTCGGCCCCGAGTCCGACGACGAGTTGATCGCCGTGACTCGGTTCCCGGGGGTCAGAGTTTGCAAGAGCGACTTCGAGGAGACGGCCCGAACGCCCGACCCGGAAGGCCCCTTCTACGATTTCGTTATGAAAGCGTTCGGTGCTCCCTCGCGAAGCTACGGTTACGTGATGAATAGCTTCCACGAGTTCGAACCGGTTTTCGCGGATCATCTTAACGCTCTAGGGAAACAGAAGTACTACTCCGTGGGCCCTCTTTGCCTGGCTGAAGTGGACGACGTCTGCAACAACAAGAAAGAGGTCGTATTAGCCGCCAAGCCGAAGCCTAAGCCGGCTTGGATTCAGTGGCTGGACGAGAAGCTGGCAGAGGGGAAGTCGGTATTGTACGTGGCGTTTGGGTCCCAAGCGGAGATATCGGAGGAACAACTGGAGGAGATAGCGCGTGGCTTGGAAGATTCAGAAGTGGATTTCTTGTGGGTGATAAGAAAGGGAGGTGGCGGGTTGGAGGAGCGCGTGAAGGGGAGAGGGATGATAGTCGGAGAATGGGTGGACCAAAAGGGGATACTGGGCCACGCCAGCGTGGGAGGATTTTTGAGTCATTGCGGTTGGAACTCGGTGATGGAGGGAGTTTGTGCTGGAGTGCCGATGCTGGCGTGGCCGATGATGGCGGAGCAACCATTGAACGCGAGGATGGTGGCGGAGGAGGTGAAGGTGGGGATCAGGGTGGAAGGTTCGGGGAGAACGGGGTTCGTACGACGGGGAGCGCTGGAGAATGCAGTGAGGGAGTTGATGGCAGGTGAAAAGGGGAAGGAAGTGAGAAGGAACGCCAAAGAGTATGCAAAGAAGGCTAGAAAGGCTATGGAGGAAGGGAACGGCTCGTCGTGGAAAACATTGAACTTGTTAATTGACGAATTGTGTAACAAGGAGGAAGACGCACGGTAGTACTATGATAAACTATAGACTACTAAGGATCCAAAGGAATGGGCTTCTCTGTTGTGTTTGCCCAACTCCATTCAATATCCAATATAATTGTAACAGCATTTATTTTTTGGCAATTCGCATATAGCCTTTGTTTTGCAATTTTGGTCACTTCTGATTATATGTCGTTCCGAGTTAACCCCGAGGAAGTCGATTCGGTCGATCTCTTGACGGTATATGATTTCTCTTGATTGAATAGATCATTACCAATTCATCGAAGATGTTCCGGGGTAATCTCCGAGGGAGTTTATCTCCTAACGATAGAGGTATTGAGTCAATTGATCTAGGGAAGTAATAAACATCGATTCATATGGGAAGCTAGGGGAATTCAAACCTAAGACATCTCCCAAACTTGTAATTAATTAGGATAGTGGTTATGTTAGTGTCGTTAGTTTAGTCTTAATCACTATTCTTGGTTGGTTAGATAACGAAACTTAAGCCGAAGTAAGGTACATCCACAGACCCGTGGTTCAGTAATTTTGTTACTTGCTTATCCTATTCTACACCTAATCGTGGTTAAACTTGGCCTTCGGTTGGGATGCTGCAGTCAGTGCGAGGCAACTGTGGAATGCATTGTTTTCTCGGTTTTAATATATGTTACTATTCAAATGGAGACAAGAAATTGGTAACTGATATATGCTTAGTAAACGTTCAAAGAAATTAACATGTTCATTATTATTATCATTGTGGCAGTATTATGCTTATTAGTATGTTTTGTCCTTGTTTGTGTACATATAATAACCATGACAAACAAATAAAAAGTATAATAAGATAATTTTGGATTTTCAGTTCTAAATCTCAAACCATTAGCTTCATAATCAAAACATCTCAACAAACAAAGAATTGTCTTAAATTCATAATTTCTAAAAAATTTAATAAATTTTTAGATTTTTAAATCACAAAACCTTCATTTTATATTTTAATAAATTATAAAGATGGCTTACTTGGTCGCTCACTAAGTGTCTGAGTCACTAGTTGTTTTTATTTTCCTTCTTTCACATCGTGGTCAATATGAATAGTAATGTGTTGAGAAAACACACTAAAAAAAAATTATTTTCTATCAAGCCACTATTTAGTTATAACTTGCACATTAAACGTATCGCCATTTTTGTTAGCCATCTTCTTCATCATAATCAAGAAGTCTAGCCGGCCAAAGCACAAACATAGTACTGATGATCATATATAGGCGAACCATCTGCGGCGAGCGGCTATATATATGCTTGGAACAGGAATATTATTTGCCCGAACGGTCGAGTATATATAAAGCTAGCTAGCTAGCTAGCTAGGAATTAAGCAACCTTATTATCATCATCAGAAGAATGAGTTCCTCAAGCAACCTTATGATGATGATCGTAATGGTGGTGACGGATCATGTCGCCCGGAGTTCCTACGACGTCGGCTGTCGTAAGCGGAATTTACGATGTCCAGTCCTTCCCCGACGGCGATCAGCGGATCCTCTGTGTATCCACTTTGCTCGCTGACTTGATTGGGCTCAGCAGCGGATCCAGAACACAGAAGAGGACTGGGCCACATTTCATCAGAAAATTAGAATTGTATATATAGTGACTATAGTTTCTTTTTATAATGTCAATTGTACACGACGGTATTTTAATTTAGCGAGTGCATCAATAATGGAGTCCACATCTATACCAATAGTATACACTGTTTCAAATAAAATACTTGAGCAATCGGCGAGAAATTCATCGCTTATTTTGTTGCGCAAATCAGTTTTCACATGTTTCATTGTTGAAAAGGTTCTCTTCGTAATTCTGTTGAAACGAGCAGCGTCAACACTAGGCAAATCAATCGATGAGAAATTCGTCGCTTATTTTGTTGCGCAAATCAGTTTCACATGTTTCATTGTTGAAAAGGTTCTCTCCGTAGTAGCTGTTGACACGAGCAGCATCAACACTAGACAAATCAATCGACTAATCAATTTGCATTATGTGTCCATCCTTTAACCACCAGCTGCTCTAGTAAATTACTAAATTCTCAAATAATCTTTTGGGGCTAGAATTTCTATGCTAAATTTAGAGTTGTGATTTGAATATGTTCATTTAATCATTTTTCAGTTATACCCAATATTATTGTAAAATAACACTGGACCGAATGTCTAAAATCGAAAAAATTAATAAGGACTATATTAATCATTTTTCAGTTGTACACAATTTAAACTTGGAACTTTTAATCACAAGCAGTTTCATGGATAAAATTGCGGTAAAACTTCATAAATATTCGTAGCCTATCCTCTTCTGTACCAAATTACTAATCTCTATAATTTTACCTTATCTTACTCTTAACCAAGGTTGTCAACCCGCGGGCTGACCCAGACCCGTCGAGTTATTGAGTCAAGGGTTAATGGGTCGCCCGTTTTAGCCCGGAAATATGGAAAGAGTCGTTATATTGTATTTATCCTGATAAATTATATCAAATCTCATCTAACATATGAGTAATAACATATAATATTACACAAAAATAACATGTCGTACTTAGATCTAACATATAGTGAAAATTCACACACACATATATATAACATCAATATTCAAACGTTAAACTTAGAATTCCAAAGATTAAGTTAGACGGAAAAAAAATTGGAAAATAGGTGCATTTCACAAACCAATGAAAAAAAATGACACAATTTGACTTCCAATCCGGTCCCTTGTAGCGGTCGACTCGATAAATGCGTGCGACTTATTTTTCTCATCGGATCAGGATCAAAGTGGCTCAACCCGCGAGTTGATAACCTTGCTCTCAACCAAAATCGACTTCTAAATCTAACTCCATTGCCTTTCCGGATTAACATTAAGTCATTAAGCACTTAGTTTAGTTGCCTCTTATTTTACAACAATAAAATAAGTGAAATGGAAAGCCCAACTTAGTCAGCCGCCAATCGAAGAATCCAAGGGAAAAGACGAGGGGAAACGGTGAGCGGGAGACTTAGGGTAATACCTGCTGGCACGTTAAACGTATCGCCATTAATTAATGGTGGGCTTCTATTTCTCTAGTGTAGAATCTTCTTCACCAAAGCACAAACATAGCACGGATGATCATAGGCGAACCCGCTGTACGTGGGGAGCGATTATATGTTTGGAATTGGAATATTTGGCCGATCGAATTCGTCAAACTTTATATATAAATATAAGCTTAGCTTGGAATTAAGCATTCATATATGGAGCTACGTACCTAGCTAGCAACCAAAAATTACTATCATCAGAAAGATGAGGTCATCATCATCATCATCATGGAATAAATATAGTCACCAGCAGCAGGTGACGATCGTGATGGTGGTGGTGGCGGCGGTCTTGTCAGTGATGTCGGCCGGAGTGTCGGCTGCCGTAACTGGGCTTTGCAACGGCGCGTCGTTCCCCGACGACGATTTGCGGATCACCTGTAGTTTCGCTCTGCTGGATAAGTTGATGGGGGAGAGCCCAGTGAAGAAGGGTGGGTGGTACAATACCGAGGAGTGCTCCGACGGCACCACTCTTCTCTACGGTTTCAGGTTCGCAGATGAAAAGACGGAGTCGGGCGGGTGCCTTAACGAGGCCAAGAATTTCATCGCATACCGGGATTGCTACCACCGCATGGGAGGTCAGGCATGGGATGCGGGATGTTACTTGAGGTTTGAGATGTACGACTTTAGAGTTGGTGGGGTTCTCGAATCAACCCATCAATGAATTAACCGCCATCAACTTAATTGTGGTACGTACGGTATTATAATTCCATCTCAAAATTTCCATGAGGGTGCATAAAATTTACCATGTATACTTCTTATACGTTTATTTTCTTCCTTTCAGTCCATAATAAGCATGGTCATGTGATGCCATTGCAAAGGGCTTCTTTTTTTTTTTTTTTTTTTACATATAAGTCTGGTTTACTATCTTCCTAAGATAATAAACACTCATGTAATGGTTGGCACCCTTAATGAATAAGAAAATGAAGAGGAATTGATTTTGAAGTTTATCAAAAATAAGTTACCCACCCACACTGATTAATTGTATCAACATTGATGTACTAAAATAACCTTTGTTTTCAGAACTGGACCAGAGGTTGTACCGAAAAATTTAGTGATTTAGGGTTCACTGGTTAACCGTTGATAGAATCGTTCATGATATATAACATACAAGACTTGCATATTACATTAATTTAAGAATGAAAAATATCATTAACCATAAAAAATTTCAAATTCATATCATGACAAGAAATTCTAATAAATCACTAAACCGTCTCACAACAAAAAAACTCATAATTTTTTAAATCCGAGTTAAAATTATGGTGGCAATTGATAATGGACCGCGTAAAAAATCATAATTTTCTCTTGGTAGGCAACAGCTGAGGAACACACAGAAAAGTAGTACGTTAGTCATAATTCGGCAGTTTAGTACAATTCGAACAACTCGGAGGTACTCTCGTTAGACTCTTAGGAGAGGTATACATCTCCTTAGAAACACAGCCTGTTTGACAAAAAAAGGGGGGATCCGAAGATCGCTTAAAACCCGATTTTCCCAGGAAATGGGAGGACCATGATAATCGCTTAAAACCTCATTTCCTTAGGCATGCATCTCTTTAGAAAGAGTCTAACAAGTGCACCATTTACCGCGTCTACAAGATATTGTTAGCTGACAAAATTAAGCGACCAATAGAGAGCTTACCAATCCACCACAAATTATCAGCAAGCTTCCTCCGTTTGAAATGATGGTTCCAGTTGCTCTTGAAGTGTCGTATGCACCACCTTTGGGACCACTTCCAGGCTGGATCCAAACCTAAGATGGAAGCTCTAATGCCGGCGTGCCGATCAGAGATTATTGTCAGGTTCGTCCTCCTAGTGACGTGGATCTGAATTTGCCGGAAAAACCATCCATAGCTATCAGAATTCTCTCCCTCAACAATGGCGAAGGCTAAAGGAAAGACTTGTCTGTTTTCATCCGCCCCACTGGCAATCAGGAGAGTGCCCTTGTACTTGCCGG